AACGACTTATCCCGAGCTAAAGTTATCCCGCTTCAGAAGCGGGCTAAAGTCGTGCGCAGTATAAAAGCGGCATAATATAAGCAAATGTAACGAGTGTGAAAATCATATGCAAACGCCAGGTGTTAACCTACTTTAGTTTCTGATAGTGTACATAACAGTTATTTAGCCTTTAGCGACGATTATTACGTGCCCCAGTCCAAAGTCTAATACCACCGAACACGCCCATGACAGCAGTACAGTACGTATCAGTGAAAGCATAGATATAGAAGAAGAATCTTCTTCTATATCTATGGTGAAAGAAGGGGTGAAGTGGAAATTACACTGTGATGAAGGACTGACCGTGGAGCAATCAACATAGAAACACATCGCTGTAAAGTAGTTCCATCCAATGTTATTACGGTAACGATAAACACACTATAGAGTTGTACACTCAGACACTACCATAGAGAAGTTAATACGTAGAGCTTACATATAGAGTACCTCTAATATCATAAACGCATACGTCTCAATTTACATAATGAGCCCCAACCTAAACAATCCATGCCTGATACATCTAATTGTGCCTGAACTTATAAAACACAAAATGCACCTAGAGTTCACAATGTGCCCTTATTTTCACACGGCGTGTCATAAAACGCCATAAGCCTCAACTTACACACGCTGCATGCCCTCACTTCTTGTGTATCATAAAACAGACCGTGCCTCATTTTTACAATTTGATTCACTAAACAAAATAGGTCTCAACTTACACAAGGTACCTGATTTACACAATGCGTCTGGGTTTACACAACGTGCTAAACTATGCATCTCAGTTCACAGAATGTGCCTCTAACACTTACACAGTGCGTTGTTCACAAGCCTTCAGATTTGAACGCCATCGAAACATTGTAAGACGCTGACAATGGCACCGTCATTACCATGCGCCGTGTTATCCTATACCAACCTAATCACGCAAATTTGAAATGTCTCTTACTTACGAATCGAGACGTGAGGTTTAGGCAGGACCCTGCCCACGCCGCAGATTTATTGCACCAACATTATACAAACAATAGCAGTTCTTTTCAACTAACTCAACTAAGTACACCACGGTTTAAACACACAGATGCTACATTATCGAAACACCGTGCGATAAACAGCGTACGTTTTGCCAAACGCACATAGCGCTAAGAAAATTCCGCCCCTAGCGCAAGAGGTAACGCGATATTTCAACAGCATGCGCGTTTTCCTCCAAATACGCCGGCGTAATAATCTTTCGAACACAATAATCACAAACTTTTGTGGCACTCAATTAAAAACAAGTGAAGACTTAACACCTTCGGATCTCGTGCAAGGCGACGAGACAATCCGTGCACACCATGGAGGCTCCGTCACCGTATGTCTCACGCCGAACGCTTGGCGTAGCCTAGCTCCAAGAAGCAGTCAGAACGACATCGCGAAAACCGTCGTGATGTGTACTGACGTTAATCTGGTCAGACTAGACGTTGCTGTCCATGTAAGTTTCCTCCCTCTGGCGCTCTCTCTCTCTCTCTCTCTCTCTCTCTCTCTCTCTCTCTCTCTC